AGCACCACTGCTCCAGTCCTTCCTTCTTGGGACCTGGACAGAGAAGAGAGCCAGCAGAAGACCATGCTTCAGAGGATGTCGATGCCAGCTGTCAAAGCCTGCTCTGTGTTCTTGAGGTGGTGGGGGGTAATGGCGTGCAGCACCATAGTGTGCAGGTTGGCTGGCATAGGCTGGTTGTTCACCCCCGAGGTCTAGAATGGTGGGGGCAAAGCAGTGGCTGTGGTAGTGCAGGAGATGGCAAAGAAGCCCACCTCGAAGTCGATGGAGCCCAGGCATGGCAACCACAGCAGGCCGTTCTGGTGCTAGGCTCGTGCTCAAAATGGAAGGCTCTGGGGTGAGAACCAGGGCTGCTATGGTTCACTGAGTAGATCCCAACCAAGGGTGGGGTGGGATGGAGTGAGGTAGGGGCTTTGGGCAGCCTGGGGAGGGCATTCTTGGGTGCAGGGTTTCAGCAGGTGGCCACCCACGCTGTGCTCAGGGGTCTTGGATCCCACAGACTGAGTGTACACTGCTGTCCCTGTCCTACTTTTTAGGCAATCTGGCAGGAGAAGAGAGCAGGGAAGACCACTCTGCAGAAGAGGGTGCCAGGTCCTGCCCCACGAAGCCTCCTCTGTGTTCTCAGGGTAGGTGTTGTGGGAGTTGCAGCACAGGAACCCATAGCTTCACTGAGCTAGTTTGTTGTGTTCACCCTGATGTCTATGATGCTTGGGATTGAGGAAGCACAGCACCTGCTGTGGTAGTGCAGGAGACAAAGAAGCCTACCTCAAAATTGGTGGAAAAGAGGCGCGTTTGCAATGGGAGACTGTTTAGGTGCAGGGGCACATGGTCAAAATGGACAGCCAGAGGGTGAGAGCTGGGGCTCGCGTGCTACATTAGCAGAGCTGTTAACGGGATGAGAGCCGGTGGCTCTCAGGGCAGCCTGGGTAGCTTGCTTATATATGCAGGGACTCAACAAGATGTCACCCAGGCTGGGCTTAGGGATCTCTGATCCAACAGACGAAGTGTGCCCCGCTGCTCCAGTCCTTCCTTCTAGGGGACCTTGACAGAGAAAATAGCAGGGGAAAGACCCCACTTCAGTGGGGGGTGTCATTGCCAGCCTGCAAAGATATGTCTGTGTTCTTGGTTTGGGTGGGGTTGGGGGTGCAGCACCAAATTTGGCAGGTTGGCTGGAATAGGCTGGCTGTTCAGCCTGAGTGTCTAGGACAGTAGGGGCACAGCAGAGGCTGTGGTAGTGCAGGAGAGGACAGAGAAGCCCACAGAGAAGTTGGTGGAGCCCAGGCTCAGCGCTCACAGGACACTGATTCGGTGTGTGTGTACTCAAACGACCACTCTGGGGTGACAGCTGGAGTTCGTGTGATGCAATGAGCAGCCCCAAACCCTGAGGGGGTGGGGTGAGGTGGGGGTTCAGAGGAGTCTGAGGAGGATGCTCATGTGTGCAGGGACTCAACAGGAGTTCACTCAGCCTGGGCTCAAGGATCACAGATCCCACAGACTGAGTGGGCTCTGCTGCCCCCATCCTAACTTCTAAGAGACCCAGAGGGAGAAGAGAGCAGGGAGAAGACTATGCGTCAAAGGATTTCGATGCTGGCTGGAAAAGCCTCGGCTGTGTACTCGGGGTTTGGGGTTGGGGGTGATGCTGTGTGGCCCTCAAGTGCGTGGGTTGGCTGGGATAGGCTGGTTGTTCACCCCTGAGGTCTAGGATGGTGGGGGCACAGCAGCAGCTGTGCTATGCAGGAAAGGACAAAGAAGCTCATTCTGACGTCAGTGAAGCCAGTGCGCTTTCCACCGGAGACCCTTTAGGTGCAGGGGCATAAACTGGATGGCTGTGGGTTGAGAGTGAGTCTGGCATGCTGCAGTGAGCAGAGCCAGAACCTGGGCGGGGGGCATGTGTGGAGGTTCAGGAAAGCCTGGAGAACATTCTCATGTATGCAGTGATAAACGGGAGGTCCCTCGGGCTGGGCTCATGGGTCTCAGTTCCCATAGACAGAGTGTACATTGCTGCTCCCATCGTATCCTCTGGGAAACCTAGACAGAAAATATAGGGAGAAGACCATGCTTCAGAAGAGGGTGCCAGTCCCTGCCCCGCAAAGCCTCCTCTGTATTCGGGGTAGGGGTGTGGAGGTGCAGTGCCGAAGGGCTCAGATTGAAGAGGTAGGCTGTAGCATTGACCCCCAAGGTCTAGGTCGTTTGTGAACACAGAAATGGGTGTGATTGTGCAGGATAGGACAAGAAAGCCCACCCCTGAAGTTGGTGGAGTCCAGGTGTGGTTGCCATAAAAGACTGTTTTGGTGCATGGGCACACACTCAAAATGGATAGCTCTTTGGTGAAAGCTGGGTCTCACATGGTACAGTGAGTAAAGCCATAACCCAGTGTCATTGTGAGGGGGAGGCTCAGGACAGCCTGGGGAGCATGCTCCTATGTACAGGAACTCAAAATGAGGTTACTCAGGCTGGGCTTAGGGGCCTCGGTTCCCACAGACAGAGTGAGCACCACTGTCCCCGTCCTACCTTCTAGGTAACCTGGAGGGAGAAGATGCAGGGAAAAACCCCACTTCAGAAAGAAGTATCCATACATTCCCCATAAAGCCTTGTCTTTCTTCTCCAGGTGTGGGTAGGAGCTGTGATGGTGTAGCGCTGAACAGCACATGTAGGCTGTGGTAGCCTGGTGTGTTCACGCCCAAGGTCTAGGACAGTAAGGGAGCACAGCAGTGGCTGTGGTAGTGCAACAGAGGACAAAGAAACCCACCCTGAAGTTAGTAGAAACCAGGCATGGTTGCCATCAGAGACAGTTTCAGTGCAGTGGTGCGCAAAGTGGATGGCCATAGGGTGAGAGCCAGGGCTTGCATGCTGTAGTGAGTAGAGCGGGAACCTGGGTGTGGGAGTTGGCTGTGGTCTCAGAGAAGCCTAGGGAGCATGCTCATGTGTGTGATGGCTCAACAGGACGTCACTCAGGCTGGGCTTAGGGTCCTTGGATCCCGCAGACATTGTGGGCACTACTGTCTCTGTCCTATGTTGTAGGTGACATAGGAGAGGATAGCAGGGGGGACACCCTGTATCAGAAGGTGTCAGCCATTGCTCAGCCAAGCCTTCTTTGTTTTCTGCACTTGGATAGGGTTTTGGGGGTGTGTGGCCAATGCAAAAGCACACAGGTTGGCTGACACAGCTTAGTGTGTTCACTCCCGAGGCCTAGAAGAGTGGGGCACAGTGGTGGCTGTAGCAGTGAAAGAAGCCCACTCAGAAGTTGGTGGAACCCAGGCACAGTTGACACTGGAGATTGTTTGGGTGCAGGGTGTGTGCTCAAAGTGAGGGTTGTGGGTTACAGCTGGGTCTTCTGAGCTGCAGTAAGCAGAGCCAGAACCCCGGAGGGTGGGAGGGTGGGATCTGAGGATAACCTCGGAAAGACACTCATGTGTGCAAGTTACAAGAGATAACTCAGGCTGGGCTCAGGGGTCTCATAGCCCACAGATAAGAGTGGGCATGGCTTGACCCAGTCCTACCTTCTAGGAGAACAACAGGGAGAAGATAATGGGGAGAAGACCCCACTTCAGAAGGGGGTATGAACGCTTGCCTCAGACAGTCTTGTCTTTGTTCTCGGGTTGGGGTGTGTGGGCACAGCTTCAAAGCATGCAGATTGGCTGAATTAATCTGGGTGTGTTCAACCCGGAGGTCTTAGGATGGTGCTGGGCAGAGCAGCAGCTATGGTAGTGCAGCAGAGAACAAAGAAGCCCACGCTGAAGTCAGTGGAAATGAGGAGGTGATTGCATAGTTCACGTATACAGTGTTTTAATAGGAGATCAGTGGGGCTGGGCTCAGGAATCCCGGATCCCACAGGTTTTGGGCACGCCCTATTCCCATGCAACCTTCTAGGCAACACCATCTGGAGGATCACACTGTATTTTGAAGCGGTAACATTTATGTGAGGGTCTCAGACTGGGGGAGGAGCCATCAGTCAGCATGAGGGGGGTTTCCAGGTATTCAGGAATCATGGTAAGGATGCTCTGTGAGGTTGGAGTAAATATATGCTCCCAAGGAAACCTGGGATGGGTTGGGGGATAAACTCACTGATTTCCTCTATGGTATGGTGTAAGGTTTGGTGCTAAGAGTGATGAGGACTTTGTCTAAGCAGGGCAGCTGAAGGTGCATAGTGGGAACATTTCTAGGTATTCTTGGAAGGTGAAGTGTGTACCATGAGATCTGAGGCAAAACAACCAGGTACTACAAAACCATCTGATTTTCTGCATATTGTGAGAATAGAGGAAGGTGAGGGACTGTCATATCTGCTAAAGAGATTCAGACAGCAGCACCATAGAGTTCCAGGTAAAGAAGGCAACAGAGATTTAATGCAAGGTTGAAGACAAAATTCTGATTGAGTGGGTATCACAGAATTGCAGTCTGCTGTATATAGTCAGCATTCTTAGCTCAAGAAACAGGTGTCAAGCTGTTCCTCTTTGTCCCTGCTTCATAACAAATCTGAGACACAGCAAGCATTTTGGCAAACAGACTTTGCTACCATTCGGGACAGAAGTATCAGGCAGCCTCTGGAGATCAAGAGAATTCTTTGAAAAAAGTGCATACCATAACAGGCCATGGGGCGGGGGAGACTACATAGCTCTCAGTGTAGACCATGTGAAATACTAAATGCTGATTGCTGGAGAATCTCTTGCACTTACGTGATTTTCTATTGTCCATTTGTCATGAATGTGTCAACTTCAGAATAGCAAAAGTCAGATGTGCAGGACCACCCTAAAGGTAGTGATAACAGTGATGGCAAAGTAAAAGGACCAAACACCACAAAACACAAGGCTCTAATACCTGTCATTGTCACCACAACAAAACCCCACAGAGAATGACAGCATGGTGCAGCCTACAATTCACTATGTCTTCCTTAGAAGGAAAGACTTAGTACAGTTAGAGAACTGTTGGTTCCTAGAGCAGTGCTCTCACAGAGACCTGCAGAAGCAGCCTTGGCTCAAGACAGGGAGAGATCTCTCATTGCTGAGATGCTCACACAGTCTCCTTTGCCTCCTCCAGGTGCCTGCAAGCCATCCTCGGTACACTATTCCCTCTTGGGCCTAATCAGAGTCATCATGCCTCGTGGTCACAAGAGCAGACACCATCATGCTCCTAAGAAACACAAGGAGGCCAGAGTGGACAGCCAGAGTGATGAAGATGCACAGGAAGAAGTGCCATCAACTGCAGAAGCAGTGACTGTGGTAACAGAAGTGGAACAAGGAGCAGCAATAAAAGTAAAAGGAGAAGAGAAAGAAGAGGTAGAGGAGTCTTCTTTCTCCCAAGATCCACCTGGTGCTGCTTACTGGAGCCCTCCCCTGACACATCGGCTGAGTTCACCATCTACCAGTGGCTTTTCTGATGAGGGCTCTGTTGTCAGTTCTGACAACTTTTCCATTTGCAAATATGAGCATAGCACGTCTGGGGCCAGTTTCTGGACTGAGAGCTTATCACATAAAACACGCAGCCCTATTAAGATGCTGGCGTGGTTCATTCTTCAAAAATTTGATTTGAAGGAGCTTTTTACCATGGAAGAGGTGGAGAATGCAGTCCAACCGGCATTCAGAAATGAATTTCCTGAGATTTTCAAGAGTGCCTGTGAGCACCTGGAGGCGATCTTCGCAGTTGAAGTGACAGAAGTGGAGACCAAGCATCACTACTACGACCTTATCAGCAAGCTGAACCTCCCCAACAATGGGAGGGTTCGCCCTGGCAGAGGCTATCCTAAAACTGGGCTCCTGATGAAAGTGCTCTCTGTGATCCTCATGAAGAACCACTGTGCTTCCGAGGAAGATATCTGGAAGTTCCTGAAAAAGATGAAGGTGTACCCTAGGAAGAAGCACACCATATTTGGTCATACCAAGAAGCTCCTCACCCAATCTTTTGTGAGTCTGAAGTACCTGGAATACCGGCAGGTGCCTGGCAGTGTTCCTCCATGCCATGAGTTCCTGTGGGGTCCCCAAGCTCACGCTGAGATCAGCAAGGAGAAAATCATGAAGTTTTTGAGCACAATGAAAAAGGTTTCTCCTAATGCCTTCTCATATCTTTATGATGATATTTTAAAGGACAAGGTCGAAAAAATCCAAGCCGCACTTGCTGCGTGTTCAGTCACTACTCCTGATCCTAGTTCAGTGGTCCAGGCCACATGTCCTGCTCCTCTTCCCAAGCTTGAAGATGCCTGAGTCTGGTGCTCATCCAGTGGTGGAAAGGGGATTCGCAACAGGGAGTTTACTTTTCAGTGTTATAGATTCCCGAAGTAGAGGGTGATGCAGGGTAACATATCTCGTGCCCTTTTATTTCTTTCTCTTCTCATTGCTTTGGTTTCAGGAAACTGAATGTTGAAAAATGTTTCATGGCCATTTCCTCAAAGTCACACTGAAATCTCTTTCAGTTGACCTTGATGTTTCTTGACTGCAATCAGCAAATACTCTTGTTGCCTACTCTTTGACAAGCATTGTGGTAGTGCACTGGTGCTCACATGTTGCTGATCCAGCCTCTGCTCCTACAGTTTTGAGCCTCAGTTCTGCAGCTTCGTGAGAAATTTGTTGAACTGTTTTTGACTTTTCCGTAGCCTAAGAAGAATGAACACAAAGAGGATGTCATTGATAGCAGTGGCTTGACAATTTATTAAGGACTACTGTTGGACTTTGGAAACCACAGATTTCTGGTGGGATAAAATTTTCCTTTTACTTTGTGATGAGCTAATGTTGGAGGTGCTCTGTTTATACTGTGCCATCCTGTGGTGACACTCAAGATTGTGATGCGAAGTCCTGTAAATGTGTTCAGTCTACTATGACAAGCACTATAGACTGGTAACTTAAGCAGTGGCATTGTCATATTTCCTGTTTAGAAAATAAAATATTATAGTGTAATTTTTTAAAAAATGTTGAAGAACCCCACTGTAGGCAGAATGACACAGTTGTGGAAAAATTGGAAACCTGATAAATTTGTGAATTCTCTTACTGTTTTTGGTCTCTGTTATTTTTAGTAACTGAATATTTTATGTGTGGTTTTGTCTTTTTCTAGAATATAAAAATAAAAGTTTTACTATATTTTATATTTCTTGAGTTTTTTCACACATATTAATTAATCACATGCTTTTTAATAGGATGTTTACTAGATTTTGGCTATTGAAGTAGAGAATTCTTAACTTCTATTTTTGGCTTTTTGAAATCAGAGGTACAATGAGACCAGTAGTTCATTAGACTGTCCTCTTTCCACGTGTAGATAAGCAATAAAGAGCTAAAGGGAGACCTACTCACCCAAATGCATTTAAAACTAATTATGTCATCAAGTTTCTCCTTCAGGTGCTGTCACATTGGAGAACAGGGCTTCAGCATGTGATTTTTTGGTGGTTTTAGACTACCACAAATATTTAGTAAATCGTGGACAATCAAAGTGACAGTTTCCATCATTTTGTGGAGAAATGTGATATGGAGAGCGGGAAAGTAGAAAAAGGGAAAAGGAGAAGGTGAAGGGGAGGAGAATATAAGCGAAGAAGGATATGAGGAAGAAGCAAGAGAAGAGACAAGGATATAAAGAGAAATAGAGTTCAGCAGAGAGGCTGAGAATGGAGGGTCAGGAGCAGGGTGGAGGAAAATGGGATGGAGAGAGACAGAAATTTATTCTCCTGCCACAGGGGCAGATATCATATGGTGATTCACTTTGATAAGTTAAAGTCTGATGACTTCCTGAAACACCCACCGTCCAATACCATCAAATAAGGATGAGGTCTTGAGTGTGTGGGTTACCATTGCTGGGTAGAGGGCAGGCCCATTCAGTACATTGTGGAAACCTGTAGCATAGTACCCTTTGGATGGTGGATAAAAGAGATTAAATCTATTCCTGAGGAGGAAATCAAGGTGTCTTGGACTCTATTTTCAGTTATGTTGAACACATTACGTGAAACAGGTGTTCTGTGCACGTTTTCTGAGAACTGATTGTCAGAATCCCTCCAGGTGGGCTTTGCACAAGCCACTGCCCTCTCATGTTTTATCAAGTAGAACTGGGGTATAACTCAGAGCCTTGCACAATGTAATGCTAGAAATTGGCTCAGAGCCTTGCACAAAGTAATGCTAGACATTGGCTCGTTTCTCTTGAAGATTGTAAGTTAGATTCTACTTTATTCAAAATGTTTTCACTTCATAACTTTGCAAATTTTCAGGCTGTGAGTGATAGATTTTGTGGAGCTTATACATAGCATATAGAATAGAAACTTTTGATGAAAGTTCCACTGGAATGGATAAAAGAACTTGTGTCTTGACACAAATGCTGGGAGACTGAGTTGCAACCAGGTATAGAGGACAATTGTGCACTGAAATATGTGCCGTTTTACTTAGGAGAGATAACACTGTTTTTTACTGTTTTCCATGTTCTTTGGCTTCCCTTTTTATTTTTTAAAATTCATTTACTTATTTATTTTTGTAACAGGGATTGACCTCAGGACCCTGCACTTGCTAGGCAGGCACTTACTCTACTGAGCTATCTCCTTGATTCTGTTTTCTGTGTTCTTTAAATGATAGTGTGAATTCTGTATTATGTGAAATATCCTGAACTTCAATGAATGGAGGTCCTGCTGCCGGGTAATTTTATCTGGGATCTGAATAACAGTAATCCTGTCAGTCTCTGAATGTTGGAAACCTTTGCTACTCTTCTTGCTCCATAGTCTCCATGTAATTCATGCATTCTTACAAGGTGTGGCTTACTAAATTCACATGCACTTTTTAATAAACTTACCCTTTGCCCAGTTTACACAACTGGTAAGTAGCCCAACTAGAGCCCAATCTAAACTTTTCTGCAACTCACATGGTTGCCCTCTGGCCACTTGATGGCAACTTCTTCTTTAATACACATATTTTTCAAGCTATTACACAATGGCTCTCAGTTGATATAAACGCACTTGTAACCAATGGAATAGAGATAAATACAGCAGGTAAATAAGAAAAAAAGGGTAATTGTTCTTGGCCTTAATTTTATGTACCCTGTTACTTCTAGCCACTCTTCCCTGAAAATTGGCATTCCTCATGTAGTGATATTTTATGTAAACAGAGTTTTTTCCAGCTCTAGAGCCCTTTTCCCCTGAGACATTTATGGCGTAAGCGTCCAACTTTAGAGCTTCATCTGCTGGCCAGCTGTTCAGTTCATCCTGCTCAGAGGGCGACATGCTTCTCTCAGGGCAGCAGACTGTTCCTATTGTCTTTTCCTGATTTAGAGCATTCCAGTCCCCAGGTGGCTATGTCCATGTCATTCACCTTATCTTCTTCAGGAGGCAAAGTTGAGGTGGCCTGTTCTCTGTCTTTCCATCCTTCCCTCCTTCCTTGCTTTACTTTTCTCCTAATATTAGAAATGTCTCTTTCACTAAATGATTTAAACATGTTCTCAGTTTGACCATGTCAGTCATTTTGCAGAACTCTAGTGGTTATGGCCTCAGTGATAACCTCAGTGACTTCCTTAAGGATGAGGCCTCACTTCCTTGCGTACAGAACCCCCATAGCTTTTATATCATCACTCAGATAGCTGAATACAGGACCTGAAAGAAAAGATAGGATAAGGTTCTCATTTCCATATCTAAGTCCGTATACTTAGATATAAATATTTTTGTCACCTCTCCCATCTACTAACACATTTTCAGGATTCCAATAATCTGGGATGTATATATGCTAGGATAATGAACTTCTAGGATAATGGTAGGAATTAGGGACAACAAAATGCAAAATACATTCCATAAAAGAGTGTGTTCTGTTCCTGATCCCCCCATTTGAAAATCTGTAAAACTCTGGGGAGTGAAACAATTAACAATCTCAAATCTTTAATTGAGTAGAGTATCATTAATTTGAAATTGCATGAGTCCAGATCTGGTAAAAAAGGTACCAGTCTAATTCATGAGAAACATTATGGCTCCAAATACAATGAGTTGCTACTAATGTTTAAGTGTTTTCCATAATACTAACCGTCTTGAGCTCTGAGATTATAGTTTTCATGTATTAAAACTCAATTTATGTGTAAAGCACAGAGACCACTAAATGTATCTCTATCACTATAAAGACTTGATTTTAATTGAGTAAGAGCATATTATTCAATGTTGGATAAAGCTTTTTTGCTTCCACTGCAACTCTCATCAAAACTCACTCTGAAATGCTAGATTATCCAAAGCCAATACAAATCATTTGTCTATTAAAGGTCGGGACTGCATAGGCTGGGCTGTACAGATTCACGGTCTGTGACACATAGCTATGGGAGGGTCTGGTTGAAGTTCTCTCTCCCTGAGGGAAATATTTCATCTCATGCAGGCTTGAATAAGCATGAAGAAGCATTTAGTATTAGATATAATCTGCTGGCAATATATTGATTTTAGGTTCTGTAATTAAGTTAATGTGGCAGATCAAATATTTAGAAGGAAAAGTCACAAAAGCATCTAACAGCTCCAGGTAGAAAATCCTGTAGCAGTTTCCTTTATAAAAATCCCATTAAGATTTTGTTTTATTTGCTTTCTTACTTGCTTCCCTTTTGCTATGAGTTAGAGCTAGATGTCCCTGCAAAGCCTCTTCTGATCGTAAGTGGAATATTTGGGAGGTGGTTGGATTATGAGGCATTAGAACTGTTGTGCTGCTAAGAGCTGAGACCTAGTTGGGAGTGATAGGCCTCTGGCAGGTTGGCTTGGCAAGTTTTCCTCTCTCCTGGGCTGCTCTCTCCTCTCTTTCCTCTTCCTCTGCTCCATAACATTATGTGCAATGCCATGTGCCTCTGCCATGCTGTGTCTTGGAGTCAGTAGACGATGGACTGAAAAATGAGCCTAAAGAAACCCTGGCGCACTTTCAGCTGTAGGGTATTATGTCTCATGGAACAGGGAAGGACTTCTAAAGTGTAGGCCCTCTCTTTGAAAGTATTTTTACTGTCACTATTGTGCAATAACTTATAGGTTGTTTTATTTCCTGGGATCTATAAAGGAGTATTTCTTTGTATGAAAGCAGTGTTTGGCTTCTCTGGAAACTATATTCATCAGATTATGCAATCCCCATGTCTGAAACGACTTGAAGCTTTCATGGCAATCTCTGTCAAGATTCCCTATGTCCTAACACCAAGAAGTTTCCTTCTTCCCAGAATTTCTCTGGTGCTACTGAATAATTCTCAACACTTTTGATTTTATAAGGCTTTGTCAAGGAGTTTCACAATCCATGGAGCT